GCCCCCCCCCCCCCGTAATTCGATATTTCTCTAAAAGTTCACAAAAATTTGTCAACCTATCGATATTCGATATATCGATTATACTCGATACGATATATGTGTGCCGTAGGTCGGTATTGACGCAGACAGTAATGACTTTCAGTTAATCTATCAAAAAGTCTTAGGAGAGGTGTCAGAGGGTGGCTGGTACTGTAGCCAAAAGTGAATTTGGGTTGGTAAAGAGTGGGGTGGGGGTAAGTATTATCGTACAAGAAAGTGTAAATGATAAAGTCAATTAAAAAGTTTTAACGCCGGCTGAAAATTTTAACCAAGCTTCTATATATATATATATACAACTAGGTTTCAAAAGTCCGTACTTCTCATTCCCAGACGTTATAACTACCAGAACCTACCCTTATCTTCGAAGCGGCACTAGGGGTAGCAGAGGCAGGATCGAGCGATTCGGCACTTGAGGCAGTTTCCTCGAGTTTCCACCACTTGTGTCGAACTTGTTAATAGCTCCGTGGCTGTTGCTGTCGTTTGGTGACCTCTCCCCCCCACCCCACCCCCGTCCCTATTCATCCCACGAACGAACCCTTCGCACGGAACTAACCCTTCCGTCAGCCAGTCCTTTACCGATTATCTTCCAACTTGGACAGCAGTTTAACGCGATTGCCGGAGTTAACTCGCCGAAGCTACCAACCAGTTAGCTTAGCCGGGTGTTAGTTTCAGGTCAAATTTTAACGCCGACAAACTCACCAGCGAGAATCCGTAGTTCGCCACGGTTCCCGTGAATATTCGCCATGAAGAAAAAGAAATATCTTTTTTCTTTATATATGCTACTGGCCCGGCGGTACGAAGTGGGTCTGGGCCTTGAACTTTGCGAATTCCCTATACCTCCCGCGAGTGCGAGCGAGACGGAGCTAGAGGCGTTTACCACGAGTAAGAGAGAGAGGTCGATAGTCTAGAAAGAAAAATAACAGCCTCCACCGACGTCAACGCAATTTGCACCAAAAGCAATATCCGAACGTCGTCGAAGTGAGACTTCTTAAGAAGTACTTTATGAACGAGCGACAAAAACTCGTTGAACGCTGCTTTCACTTTTAAAGAGCTCGTCTTTCGTCGCGGCTCTTCGCTTATTTTTCTTTCATAATACAAATAACCTGACCTTCACACGCATTCAAATTCGTGGTAAGCCCGCGACGTGCGTCTCCAACGAATAATCGCACGTGTCAAGCTACCTGACGTATAACCAGCCTACGCGCTTTTGAATACTTTCACGCGGTCATTCGGTCGGTGGCAGACAGGTGTGTATCTTCCTTTTTCTTTTTCTTCCATAAAGAAGAGAGCCGCCCTCCCGAAGACTGTAGTAAAAGGTCGTGGGAAAATACGGTATTGAAACGAGTGCCGATCCTTTTCACAGTAAACACGCTAAATGCACACACGTAATTTCCTGTGTCATGAGTCACTCGTGTGTGCATACCCAAATACCAGCAATCCTACGTATCATTCGTATACACTATATATTATATATATATATATATATATATATATATCCCGATATCACATACTCTTATTGACCTGTATATTATTTATACATCGTACCCCTATTTACGTATACTTTTGATACAATGTATCGTTTGACTTTCTTCACGCACGTTACATGCGGAACGGGAGTCTTACTCATGTTTCGCGGGACCTCGGACCCTGGCCCACATTTATCAGCGTCAGTTCACAATATTTCCAGGAGACTATCTAATCGGCTGCGTTACGCACGATATCTATAACCGACGCACACTTGGTTCAACTGGTTATTAGTTTTCTTTCTTTTTTCTTTGTATCACAGTTGCATACACTGACCACGGCAGATAGATCGATAACACATTGCCGGGGCAAAGTCAAAAATAAATAAGCGACATCGATAGGGGTTACGGTGATAAATTTTTTTTCTTCTAATTTCTCTCGTATTCTCTGTTGCAGGTAAGAATCGTCGGGAAAAAAGGTCCAGCGAGATTCGGTTTAACGCGACTGTCTATGGAAAAACATCTGGCAAATTATCGCACGCGACTTCAATAGGCATTCCAGGTATTGTTATCACTGGCTATGTATCTACGTACGTGCTGCACGCCGATCGCGGTTCAGCGGAACAGATGGCAATGGGGGATGAAAAAGAGAAAGATAAAGAAAAGAAAGAAACACACAGGGAGATCGTGCGTAAATTCAAGTACACGTTCGTATTAAAAAAAAAAAAAAAATGTAACGCTACCATTGAGGTTATGGTGGTTTCTGTTATTTTTCCTCTCTTCTCTGCTCCGCGTTCCTCCGGGAAGCCGGCTGTGATAAGAGCGCGGTTATCGCAACGAAACGCGATAAGCGACTCCTTCGCGCGTGGTTAGCGGGAATTTAATTATTGTTGACAGCGCAATATTATCGTTCCCTTGTTCATCATCGAGGACGTTGCACGCTCGTCTTTGTTACGGTTGAGTATCCGGTATAGTCGAGTCTTAGGATCCTGAGGGATGCTGCGTCCACGACTCATCTCATTTAACGCATGGTCCAGTGGATACCAGAAATAGATAGCAGAAATAGAGTGAATGAAAAATTGACTTTAGGCGTGTTCGGTAATCGGGTAGAGAACGGTTTTACGGTATATTGAAAAAAATTTTGTATAGTCCCAGTAAAAAGTTAATAACGTTATTTCTTCAGCCTTGGCTAGTTAGAGTTTCGACTGTACACTCTCTGCTGTATGCTTGTTGGACGAGACAGTCCCAACAAGCAAAGTCGGAGTCGCGTATCGTGATTTGGCGTTGAAGCTATGAAAACACGTTGAAAGCTAATTTCCTATGTATTTCCGTTTATCGATCCGTTAACATTAATAACGTATGATAATAAGTACTAGTCTTCTTATGTCTGCGCGCATGACTCCGTTATCAGTGACACTGATAGCAGGCGCGCAGGCACCCAAGTAGAACCGGACGGAAATTCTCCGGGCAATCAACGGTCAGAGTCCCTGACAATGGAGAGGGTGGCGTCAGTGTGCGACTGTGTGTTGTCAGTGATCGAATGACAGCATGTGTCAGGGCTTTGGTGTACAGTCAAAGGGAAATAACACGATGCTAGATAGAAGGGGGAGAGAGCAAGAGCAGCTGGTCCAACTCTTCGTGCTTTACACGATAGTGATAAGTTATTAATCTCGCGACGTCTGGCTGCCGTCCAAACATGCGTACATAGCCGACAGTCAGTGCGCAGACTTAATTATCTGGTTTAAGAAATTCTCCGTACGATTTAATAACGAAGTGGTATTTCCAAAAAAAAAAAAAAAAATGTTATAACAATTCCAGTGGTCACGTAAACTCGTTACCCGTAATTCCTTTAGGCTCGTATTGATTCGCACCGACGTGAATCCCACGCTCGATAGGATCTCGAAGCTCGTTAAGGTGCAGCTTCAGGTAGTAGACGAGAGAGAGAGAGAGAGAGAGAGAGAGAGAGAGAGAGAGAGAGAGAGAGAGATAAAAGTGGCACCGAAGATCTTAGAAAATTAATAGGCAACGAGAAAATCCAGCAGGCAGGGGAATACACGTAGAAAGAGAAACAAGGAAGAACCGGGACTAACGAGGCGATGATGACTCGTATAGGCAAAGAAAGTTAAGACCGGGCAGCGTCGTGAACGTAAAGAACCCGACCATTCCGATGGGTTACGGGACTGCCGTAATTATCCGCTTACGGATTCCGCTTTCGTTTTGCACCTTGCGCGAGTTAATCCCCCCCCTCCCTCCCCCCCTCTCACTCACGTACATTACCTTCGGGAACCGACGGGATACACGAGGAGCAGCTTTTCATCGGCACTCGTGCGTACGTCGCTGGGTGGACGAGGGAGACGAGGAGGTGGCGGACGTGGCGCGGAGGCTGCAATCGGGTTTAATGAAACCAGTCGGATGGGGTTCGTCAAACCGGTTCAGCGGGTTCTACTCCGTTTTGCCGTGATCCTCCTTTTCCTTTTCTTTTCTGATCTTCAGCCTTTATACCACTCTTCCTCTTTCTGCTTCTCCTCTGACTCTCCGTCTCCGTCCCTCTCGCTCAGCGTCTACCCTGACGTCCCCAGTCGATCTGCCGACGGAGTCGATACCGGTCTATGGTGCTAGCAGTACTTGGTCCACGGAGAAAGAGAAGACTAGGACGTTCTACCAGCTCAGCGTCCCTGCTCCGTGTCTCTGTATACCCTACAGTGCATCGGAGCAGACTGTTTCTCTGTCCTTCTTTGTTGCACAGTTTTCGTGACCGTCGCCAATCTCTACCTCTCTCTCCCTCTCTCTCCCTCCGCCATCCTCGTTCCGATTCTCCCAGCTAGGGAGGGCGGGGGTGGGGTGGGGGACCTACGGTTGCATATCTGAACCAAGGATCGTCAGAGCTGCACCACGCGGCCCCCCGGGTATTCTCGGTGTGCGATCCCCTTAACTCGAGACTACACGGAGCTACACCCACGATCGGCTTGAGAATTATGGGGATACACGAGGGATGGTCTCCGCCCCTGTTTGATAGTCTCTCTGCGATATAAACCCACGCACGCCTCGTCCTCCTCACCTGGCCAGTATGGAGCACAGCGGCAGAGTCCTAGTGACCCTATACAGTGACGCCGGGGTCTAAGGATGACTGTGCGCTACGTACGTTCTCTCGAGCAGATATACGTACTCAAGGGTGCGCCACGCCTGACCCACTAGTCTCTCGTGTCACTAACCCAAGACGTTTCATCCGGCACCTAGATCCTTCGTCCGCCCGTCCAAGTGGAATCAGCAAGTTGCAAGGTGGCCTTTCCAAGATCTCCATCCCGACAGTCTCAGCTCCGAGCCGTCCGTTCGTCGGTCGTTCCTGCCGCAAGGCGAGTCTCTAACGAGCGCGCGCTTCCATCCATGCCGGAAATGTGCAGCAGCTCACGCGAGCGGGCGCAGTGCTTTGGAATTGCCGCATGTCGTCGCCATATGGCAGGTTATGAACGGGAGCGACCGGAGTCAGCCTGCGAGACAAGAAGAAGACCGGGTCTGTACCAAGGCTAAGAAGAGCCTCTCCTACGTCCGTGCACTTCTGTTCGCCAACCGCACGTCGTTCTTCCTGCACTTCCCCTCCCGTCCTGCCTCCCCCCCCCCTGCCCCGGCCCTTTCGCTTCCCAGTGCACAGCGAGGCGAGGCCGGATCGTGGGCCGCAGCCCGTGGGCTGACGAGCCGTGAACCGGCTGTGGGCTGTGGCTACGTGGCCGGCATCCCGTTTGGCTACCTCGACTACATGACTCGCTTACCGAGTGCAACAGTCTTCAGGTACCCGCTAGCTTGTGCTCGACTGCTTGCTCGCCTACCTAGACGAAAGGAGAATGACTCATACGGTACCCTCCGTAGTACGGGGGATCATTGGGGTCACTGGGAGATGGAAAAAAAAATCAAAAGTCTTTCGTCTCTTACGGCTACCGTACACACGTTATCAGCCGTAATCTTATCTGACGTCAAATATATTTCTTATCGCTGTATATATATTGACAGAGAGTAATAATAATCATTCTCGATACACCATATATCATTTGTACGCCAATTGGATACATTCGTTACGTCATTTTACTTGCCTTCCCCCACCCCCCCCGGGCTGTTTCTTACCAAATCGAATAATTATCCAGACAACTCTGACGTCAGTCCTCGATCATCTGTATCGGCGTACGCGAAGTCTCGCCGGTCGATACATATACGTGGTGTACACTCGAAATTTCGGAGCATCGAAAGGGAAGACACGACAATCGAGTGACGCTGCGCTCGTACGAGAGTCCGGGGGTCAATTGGTCGTGACGTCATGTTCAGATACAATAAATACCACGGGGACACAGGGCATGGGAGTGCGGTGACACGTGACAGCATCGTGAACCCCATGAGCAGGACACTAGAGGCACCATCCGTATTATCATTCATGTGTCCATTGGTATGACCAACTTAAAATATATATAACAGGTATATAATGGTGATACGTGCTTTTACTAAAATTCTCAAACTACCCGGACATCGTGATCACGTTGCGAGAGTATCTCGTGTACCACGTTATACACTTCTTCGAATACTTGATCACCGGTAAATTCCTTAGTGAAATTTCCGTACGACTGGTCGGGTCACGGAGTTATCCAGCACCGAGGTAGTGCCTGGTTACCCGGTTACCACACACCCTGGATCTCTCGGTCACGTGTTGGGCTCATTTCCGCGTTTACGGGCTTCCGCCGTCAGCTCCGGTCTCTATATACCACATAGTCCTTGTACGCACATATACGTATATCCATAGCGCGGATCTCGTCTTTGCCTCTTCGCCATAAACCCAAAGCCATTAATGGCCGACGGCGTTCGCAGTCCCGGTAATGTTCCCCCCGGTGCGCCAGAGTCGATTGCCACCTTCTGATCCAGTGATCGAATTGCTCGTTCATTCGGCCGGCATGGAAACCCACGTTGATTTGGTCCTTTCGTTGGGTCTGGTTAATCTGTAACAAGTAAAAGGGAGGCTAACGAAAGGAAAGCGATTCCTATGGGACGAGCTGCGTGGAGGAGTGTTGCGGTCGGTTTCGTTTTAAAATGACTGTACGTGCATTTTTTTCTCCCTTTCAGTCTCGAGGTTACTCAAGGCCGGGACTACTCGGGGCCGGCAGTTAGATAGGTTAGGTTTGAACCGGGAGTTATCGCTCGTTAACACGCTAGGACGGTAATGCGCTATTAATTGCCCTGAGCCAGTCCAAGGAGAATATATCGAACTGGTTTGGACATCGTTCGATTCTCCATCTGGTACCGAGGGCTTACCAAGGATCCAGGGATGGCTGTAATTTGTTTTTAAGTCATCCACGGTATCGTCACGTGACCTTCTGGGCGTGGCGTTCTAAAATTGACCCCTCGGTGACCTCTGGCCGTTTCAACCAGCAAAAGGGGAGATCAAAGACTTGCATTCTACGGATTGTGCGTCATGAATAAAGTATGACCAAACTGTCGGATAAATATTTAATACGAATTTGCTGTCGCGCCTTGAGCGACATTGCGGGTCCGTCCTGAGGAGGGAGGATACGTGGCAAAAAGAAT